TTTTCAATATCACTTCAGTTTTCATTCATTTAATTTGCTTCTTGTTGTTTGCTTAATTTGTTGTATTACTCGATTTTGACATTTTTATTTTTGTACAAACAGCTTTTGAAATCCTGTCATGCAGTGTCTCAAACACAAGGTAGGATGGACGTATAATAAGCAAACTATTATTTCAGTGTGCTTTCCTTCTAAATTAAATCATTATCATTGGAGCCCTCCTCGTAAATGCAACCATTGGGAAGTGCCATTGACACAGTGAGCACAGTGCTAATCTTGTTTGCACACAGGTATTTGAGCCTGACACAATATTAGCAGTATTTTGTGCTTTAGCATCTGAAATTCAGATGAATGTGAACAGTGATGCGCAGAGGAAATATTTAGAGATTAACTTGCACATTAGCTGCTGTTACTGCAAGATCTGCTTAGAGTTCTAAATTGTGTCTGTGAGAGTGTCTGTTGATCTAAGAAAAGTATTTTAGTGTTAACACACATATGATTAACTGCTAATGCTGATAGTCAGACAAAGGCTATCCACATATCTCAGTATGCTAATAAAATAAGTAATTCCATGCTAAGAGTAGCCAAATATAGAATAGATTGCTGGAAATAGCTTCTTAGTGTCTGTGGAAGAGCACTTTAAAATTCACTTCTAATTCCAACATGTTACAAGCTCTGGCAATTACACTTCATGATGTGGCTGTGCTGCTGTGGCTTCCTAAATAATTGTTACTCCAAGAAATCTCTATTAACCCCTGTCTTTCCAAGGGAAAGAGCTGCACTGGGCTGGAACATCCCCTTGTGCAGCACTGCCTGATCTGAGTTGCTCCCTTGAACTGATAACATCTTGCACTACTGACAGCACCTGCTGTAACAACATTTATTTACGGACACATAGTAATGAAAAAAACTCTCATTAGGCTAGGGAATTTTTTTTTCTTTATTTTATTACTGTATGTGTTTCCTAGCTTGTGTGAGATCTCAGTAGAGAGCACCCTGAAAGCAGAGTCCCTGGCTGCCCCTGACTCCATGGATCCACTGTAGGTTCCAGAGGCTGTCCTGTTGTGCTGGTGTGTTCCCATCGGAACGCACTCTCTGACCCAGCCTCAGAACGGCGCAAATGAGATCCTGCTCCTCTGCTAGGTGCTAATGTGGTCTTTGAAGCCAGAATTCTAAAAGAATTCCATACACAGGACACTGGGACACGGAATATTTATAGGACACTGTGCCTGTAGTCAAGTCACAAGCCTGAAACGTGAAATGTGTGAGTCACTGAGAAAAAACACCAGGTTTTGTTCTGTCTGGATGTTTCATTTCACACACAGGCAAAATTCAGCCAACATTTCAGAAGAGGTTGTCCATATTCATTTATTTATTACGTTTCCATGTTTTCATGTTAAAATTATTTCTTCATTACTTTCAAGCTTTTTAAGTCATTTAAATGGAGAATGTCAATTAATTTTAATCATATTTATGACGGTTGCTTTGCTGTTATCATAATTACTTTTTTTCCCCAAGAAGATGATAAGAATGATTAAGCAAGTGCAGGGCTAGATTTTTCAAGAAGGCAGGTATGTCACATCTGCATAAATCCACATTTACCTTGAAAAGGAATAGAGGTGCACCCTCATTACTTTAGACCTACATATGCCCATTTTCACCTCTGCAGATGTGTGTTTGCACGTCCAGCATAGGTGACTCCTTAAGTAGCAGCTTGTATAGCAAAGTTCCATGTCTAAGCAATTTTTACAACTTCTGGGGGAACATAGTTTAAATACATCAAGTCCCCTAACCATTATTCCCTGCATGATGGATAATACAGCAATTGCACCAAAGAAAATAGCGTGGATTGTCTCTTCCTAAAATTTGTTCCTGAGTTTGATTGTATAGATGGGTTAGATTGCCCTCAGGGTCAATTTATTCAGGGTCCTTGGGGCTTGGATTTAAATAACTTCCCAGATTGAGAACCCCCAGGGAAAATGGAGATGCTGACTCTCAGTTCCTTTATTCACACCAAAACAGGATAACAGGAGGAGAGTGTGGCTCTGTGTGCATCTGAGAGAGAGAGGAAGGGAATTTAAAAAGTGCCCTCTGAGAGGGGATTCCCAGGCCAGTCACCCTTTACACACAGAGCTGTAACTCTGCCTGCAGAGCCCGAGGCAGCAGAGTTTATATGAGGTCTGGCATGTATTCATTGCTGGATTTTGCACAATGCTTTTCGGTGCAGTTTCAGGTGGATTCAGGGTGTGTAGTCCCATGGAGCACATATGAGTGTTCTAATCCTGAAGTGAAAAACACTCCCTCTGTAATCATAAGGATCTCCAGGTCAGACAAAAATTATTTTTTAAAAGTACACTATTTTTAAAAAATACTACTTAAAAAATCTTGGCTACTGCAAGGGAGATGTTACACTGATGGGTTTTTATCATTCCTTGTCTTTATGAAAGGAGCAAGTCCAGATCATGATGAATTTCAGGCGTTAACACATTGCAGTACTCTCAGAACAGCAGTAAGAATGCTTTCCTGGACATTTCCTATCTGGGAAACAGTAAATTGGCATCTGCCTAACTTCTTCCCCAAAACTGGGGCTTCTGCATTTTATCACACACTTCTTTAGAAAGTCAACCCATGACTCCCAGAATAGAAAAAAAAAATATTTCCTAAGAATTTGTAGATATAAGGATTACATCTGATTTGGAAAACAGAGTGTGGGGGGACGAGGGGTGTAAAAATAATGTTGTTACCTGTCTCTTCAGTGTGCTTTGCCTGTGTTTCACTCAGACCCTCTCATGTGAAACATGCTTCACTGGGAGCAAAAGGTCTAATGCAGCGCTTCATGCGGTTATTTTGGATTGCAGGCAAAGGAGATGCAGCAGATGGTGAAGCTGGAAGCAGAGATGGATCGCAGGCCAGCAACAGTGGTTTAAAGCCTCAACAAGCAAATTGAAGCTGGAGAGCACAGCATCCTTAAAATGAGAGCAAAATTCAAAATAACATTGCTGAGGTTGAAGAGTGGGCTTTTGGTTTGGTTTGGTTTTGGCAGGGGTTTGTTTTGAGGTTTTTTTTTGTTCTTAATATATCAAGGGTAGCTACGGACCACCAAGTCTTTAGGTTTGCATTGTTTCTTCTTTAACACTGGGCACTGAATTTCCTTTGTTGGATTTCCATAAGAATTTCCTTTGTTCAGAAAAAACCCCAACCTGAAACGAAGAGAGCTTTTTAAACCCCCTCCTGTTTCTGTATCTCACCAGGCACCGTGCCTGCATCAGAATCCCACGCTCAGAGCCTCGAAGCACAGGAGATACCTTTAACATCATGTCAGATGGCAGCAAAGCTGTAGCTCCAGTGCTGTAATTTCCCATTTGTGTTCTCATGTGTGATGTGCTGTGCAGAAGCCCCGCGCTGCCAGACCCTGCCAGGCCACGCCTTGTCAGATGCTCTGCACCTGATGTTCCCTGAGCTCACTGAACGGGACCTTATGCCAAGTAATAATTAGGATAGTAAGGAGTTGAGTTTGATTTTAAATTACATTTAAATGGGTTTTTTTTGCAGGCAGCAGACAGCAGGCAGTTGAAAGGTAACTGTGTATATTCAAAAGTACAGCGTGTACAAAGTCATTGGCCAAATTCATCAGCTGCAGCAGCAACTTGACAGGGTATTTCTGCGGCCTAACGATGCCATTCACAAGTGCCATATCAACTCTATCAATTCTGAGGGGAGCCAATATCCTGTAGAAGTCACTGCAGTGGATAACCTGAGGGAAATACAGTGCATTCGTGCCAAAACTGATCAGTGCTCTAAGGAATTATGTATTAGGCACTTTAAGAAAAGTTTACATCCTACATTGCTTGTATAGAAATTGCATTTTGATCCTGTTGTTGCAGATCCCGGATACTACAGTTCATTGCAACTTAAAAGATTGTTTAAATGGCTTTTGGCAAAAAGTTTGTAACTGTGAAAATGTAAAAAGTATTTATACACTTGGGAAACACAACATTGTAGAAATTCACATACATGTTGCTACGTGATAAAATTAGTAAACAAAAATGCTAAGAGTATGTTTGCATGTGATACAAATGCTACTAAGGCTGTCATGCCTACTTATGACCACAGTCATGCTACTAGCTGGTAAATACTGAGTAAATGTATGGCACAGAATATTGTTTGATTAATTACAAAGACTTTTAGCATTACAAGGTCTCTATATATATGTGTGTATATTAATTACGTGGGCATTCTTGATACTTGTAGTAAAAGAGAAGTACATAACTAATTTAATTTTACACAGAAGTATTTATGCAGATTTTCAGAATTTCATATCAGGAATAACCTTTTTATGTCCATTAGATATAAAAACAATTTGCTAATGTGTTAATTTGCATGTTTCCAGAGCTTGCTGTAGTTATATTGCAAAACAATGCATGTAAGGATTCGGCTTGGAATTTGTCCATGCTGCCAATTCAAAGATGACTGCATGGAAAACTGGTAGTTTAGAACAAATCAGATTTCTGATTTCAATGTACTAAGCACCAATTACTTTGTTGTATATGCTTGTACAAACAAATTCTACATATTCCTATAAACAAAATAAATGAAGAGAGATAATTATGTTATTGTCAGTCCTGAGATGAAACTTTCAACTTATCTAATAAAAACCTTAAAAATTCAAATCCTTTAGTTTTGACTGCAGTGAATTGCAGGGTGGTGGTGTTATTAATTGCAGATTTTTAGCAAATTGTATTTCCTGTAAAAATGTGCATAGTGTAAATATATTCCTATCACAGCTTATTTAGTCAAAGGAGTCTTTGTTGTTTTTTTTTTTTTTATGTTATATAAGTGATAGAAGCATTGTGCAGCACTAGAGAACTGCCCCAGTGGAAGTGCAGCAGCACAGCCTGGAAATGCAGCAACCCGAGTGCAGTGTAGCAGCCACTGAGACAGAGGTCAGTGAATCTTTAGGTGTTTAAAGCAGGGTTTGAGCACACTTGTGATGAGTATTCAGAATTCCCACTGTGATGCCACAGCCTGTGAAGGCAGCTCCTGGTCCTTTGTGTTTTAAAACACAAGTTGTGTACTGAGAGCTGCTCTCTGAGCCTGGCTGAAGTGCTGGACGGAGCTGGAAGCAGAAGTGTTTTCAGAGCATGCTGGACAGGATTTTTATGGTGATTTTTCTTTTAATTAAAAATGTCCTCTAAAACAGCTGGTGGAGACAGTGCCATGAGCTGGTATTGTACACTGTTGCCTACTGCAGTGGTTTGTAGCCTGTGAGAAGGAGCAAATGACAGACCAGGTATGGAGAGAACTGGATGGTGAGGCATCTTAAGCTCACGCAGAGCCTGGCTGGAAAGCCCTGCTAAAGAAACCACCGGGAATGGAGGGCTTGTCCCTGAGAAGATCAGACCTGCCTATTTAATTCCTTGGTGAGCATCCCATCCCCCGAGGGGAAAACGCAGGTTTTGGAGAGACAGAAAATACTGTCCAGAGCCTCTGTCTGAGACTGTGCTCCCTGCTCAGCCAGCAGCGAGACATCCATCAATTCAGACAGAAAAATGGGCTGCTGCGAAACTGCCGAGCAGGAAACCTCAGCTGCCAGGCTCAGCTCCCCACACTGATACCTATTTCATCCACTGACAATTTAGCATAAAATGCAGGCAGCAATTTGAAATTAAGAGATGAATTTTGTCAGCTAAGTGTTTTGAAATACTGCTTAAGCAGTATTTGATTCAAAAATTATTTGAAGTTTGGCCGCTAATGTAATGAGGTGAGAATTTCCATTGAGATGAAATAGGCTAATCAATTTGAACATTGATACCGAGTTAAAGCAGTTTAAAATGTCATTCCCTGCCGGGGTGATAGATTCCACTTCAGTGAAATTTCATGGTGGGAAGTGGCAGATTTTCCCCTCTCTGAACCGCTTCAGATAAATTCAGCTCAGCTGTGATGGGGAGGGTCATGACACCTAGGCAGCCTGCTATTCTTTCACTTGCAGTAATTTGGGGGCTGGTCATTAACTTGACTGTTTCCAGGTGGGGGCCTATTTAAGTCCTGTACCACCTGCATGCAGCTGAGAAATCACCCAAAATACGCCTCAGGTGTTGTAGCCCAGGGGCTGCCTGTGAAAACAGCTGCAAGTGGCAAACACCACTGGATGTAAAGCCCTGTTCCTGCTGGCTGTGTCAGTAGTGGTCCCCGTGCTTTGTGCTCCCTTCAAGCAGTTATGTCTGGGAGCTGTGGGTAGCAAGGGCGATTCAGCCTTCAGAGATACCCACAGAGGGTAAGGGCAGGTGGCAGGGCTGGTTTCAGGTGACCTAGTCTGGGACCATCAGCTGTCCCTGGTCGCAGCATTTCAGGGTGCTGATGCTGCACTGGCTTGCTCGGATGAGACCTTTCTGCCCTGTGTTTTAGGGGTGCTAGAAAGTCTTAGGCCTTTCCCTTTAGTTTGCCAGAGAGCAGGATGCAGGCAGCTCTGCAGGCTGGAAGTGGCAATTGGCCCTGGAGCTGAAGGCTTTGTTGTGCTGTGCAGCTGGGGGAGCACAGTTCTGGGCTGTGGGGCAGCCTTGCCCCCCTCCAGCACAGCTGCTCTCTCCCAGCTGCTCCCTGGACCCTCCTGCACAGGCTGGATGCAGGGGCAGCTGCTCAGAATCATGTATTTTGGGCCTTAAAATCTACCTAGAAACGTCAAAAAGGCTGGAAATTAAATGGTGGAGTAGAGAAGGAAATAAAGGGTAGTCAAACACTGAGCTCATCAGTGTAGGACCTGAGGAAGCCAGGCACTAAAATCATCACAGAAGTACAGCCTGTTACAGTCAAAGATTATATTTTCTAGAAGATTAAATATTTTTCCCTTTATATAGTCCCCTGAAATTATTATCCATAGGTTAATCCTGTACCACAACTGACACAGTTGACTGTATTTGGGGATGTGCAGGAATGGCTTTTTATCATGAAGCAGGAGAGAGAGCGAGAAGGAAACGGTCAGAATATATTTAATATGTACAGAAAGCAGAAAAGAAATTTCTACATTATAGTTTAAAAAAAATTTCCTTTAGTATCAGTTTTTATTGCTTAAAAAAGCCATTTCCCAGTAAGAAAGCCCCTCTCTGCACGCGTGTGCCCTGGCAGAGAAAGGGCAGTTGCGCACAATCAAAACTCACCTTGCAGTATCTTGCTTTGCAAAACCTTGGACCATTTCCTCCAGATGCCTTTTCCTGAACTAGAAATGTGACTTGGTAGTGAATCCAGTAATGCTATCACTCCGGATCGCTGCTGTCCCTTTGGCTTTTTACCGAAAAACCATCCTCAGTGTAGGGCCCTTCATCCCCGCTGCTCCTGGGACTGGTGTCGCTGTAAATCGTAAATATTTGGATGTGCTCCTGGTCCCGAGAGGACGAGAGTGGCAGAGCGTTAAAGTTCCAAAAAAAAGGTCCCGGTGAGAGGGGGGAAGAAATATTTCAGCGTGGCTTGACGGGAGCAGCACGGGAGTCGGCCGCGTTTCCCCGCACGGAGCGGCGGCGCAGCCGGGCACCCCGCGCTGGGATCGGCCGCTCCTCCCGGGGCCAGCGCCGCCCCTGCCCCGGGTGACAGCGACGGACCGAGGGAGGGAGGGAAGGCGCTGCCTTGGCTCGGAGCTGAGGGCAGGGGGCGAGCAGCCCCCCGGGCTCTCTCCCCGCCTCGCAGCCCCCTCTCCGCCCAGCGCCGGGCCTCGCTGTCTCGCACCTTTGACCCGGCCAGGGGCTAAACCTGTCCCACCATCCGACGCCACCTCCTGCTTGTCCTCCCAAAAACGCCCCGCACGGGCATGGGCGGTGTTGTTTCTGTTTTAAAGCACCCTCTGGGGTCTGTTGGGTTTTATGTGACGGTGCGCGTTGTGGTTTGCCTCGTCTTAGAGCTCAGGTGCGTCGATGGCCCCTCGCAGAATGATGCGGTTTGCTTCCGACCTTGCCACACAAAAATAACTGCACGCTTTTCCTAAATTAACACGCGGAGCAGCTGTTCGCCTCCACCGAAATTAGTGACGCTCTGTGAGCAGCCGGCACAGGAATAGGTATCCCCTCCTCCATCCCTCCTCTCGGCAGGGACCGCCGGCAAGCCCCGGGGCGAGGGGGTCCCGGCCCCGCTGCCAGCGCCGGCCCTGCCGGGGGAGCGGGAGCGCTGGGGCTGAGCCCGGCTCCGCTCCAGCCGGGCGGCCCGAGCTCCCCGCGGGGATCCCCGGCAGCCCCTCGGCGGGTGCGGCGGGGCCCGGCGCCGGAGGGGGGGAATCCCTTCTTCCCTCCTCCCCGCCCGGCTGCGCGTACGCCCCGTCCCTCGGCGTGGGCGCTCCATCAGCTCCGCCGGCATCTCCCCTCCTCCTCCTCGCACACCCACACACTTTCCCCGTCCCTCCTCCCCGCCACTCCGCAGCAGAGTGCTTTTGCAGCCTGTGCGGCTCCTGGGAGAGGAGGTGTGCGGCTTTTTTCACCTTCCTTTTTATTTTAATTTTTTTTTTTTTTCCTTCGGAGCGGACCTTTCGGAGGAGCAGCTGCAGCAGCCGGGACAGAGCAGGGAGCATGGCCGGGGGGCGTCTCCCGGGGCTGCTTTTCATCTTGCGTGAGTACCTGGGTGCCGAGTCGCGACACGAAGCCCTGTCGCGACCTGGCAGCCGCTGGCGCTGACGGACTCGGCGCTGTCACGGCACCGGCCTCGCATCAGCGCCACCGGCTGCCACATCTCCTGCACCCGCGCTGTCGCGACAGGAACCCCCCGTCACGATAGAGGAGCTTGCTCCAGCGGGCTCGGGGGTGGCGGGGGGTGTTAGGGTGAGCGGCAGGGGCTCGGGGCGCCGGGCCCGGGGCTGCCGGCGCTCAGCCCCGCTGTGCCCGCAGACGCCGCGGCTCGCCTGGCCGCCGAGCAAGAAGTTGAAAACCTCTCCGGGCTCTCCCCTAACCCCGAGAAGGACATCTTCGTGGTGCGGGAAAACCGGACGACGTGTCTCATGGCCGAATTCGCCGCCAAGTTCATCGTCCCCTACGACGTGTGGGCCAGCAATTATGTGGATGTGAGTGGGGGCCGGGGGCGGCCCGGGGCTCCAGCAGGACCGGGGATGGCAGGGGACACGCACACGCACACATCTGCCGGTACTTTCGGAAAGTCCTTTATTCCCTCCGAGGATTTTCAGCCGGGGCAGGGGGGGGACACTCGGGGGTCGCCCCGCTGAGCCCCGCTCCCCTTTTGCAGCTGATCACGGAGCAAGCCGACATCCCGCTGTCGCGGGGCGCCGAGATGAAGGGCAAGTGCGGCACGAACGAGTCGGAGCTGGAGCTCTCCTGGCTGGACCAAGCGTACACCCTCAAGCTCTCCTTCCTGAAGGTACGGGCTGCCGGGAGCCGGGCCGGGGCCGCGGCGGCTCCGCGGGGTCCTGACCGGCCCTGTCTCGGCAGGAGGGGCACAACACGTCCCGGGGCCCGGAGGCGTCGTGGAAGCTCAGCCGGATCCAGTTCACCTACGACACCTCCGAGCGCACCTACTTCAAGGATGCCGTCAGCCGTAAGCGCCCGGGCTCGGGGTTTAAGGGAGATCCCGGTGGGCGAGCGCGGGGCCGGGCTGCGAGGGGAGCATCCCGCGGCTGCTCCTAAATGTGGCTTACGGGGAAAAGGAAACCCCAAATCCTCCCGACAAAGTCGGGACCAGCTGCCGGGTTTAAACCGCATATTAGAGGTTGGGTTGTTTTTTGGTGGGTTTTTGTTTTTTTTTTTTTTTTTCCCCTCCGCTGTTTTTTTTCCTCCCTTGTTTTTAAACACCGCGGTTGCCGGGGGAGGGAGATCCCAGCTCTGCCCGTTTGCTGCGCTGTCCTGTGGGACCCACGGCCCCAGGGGTGGGACAGGGAGACACCTGGGCTGGAAAAGCTCGTCTCCTTTCCTGTGGGGAGATTGTTTTTGAGGTTAATCCCGATGATGCTTGAATAGCTGGGAAAGCAGCAGTTCCCCAAGATAACTGAGATTGACATCAGTATTATACCCCCACACACCTCCGCACCCAGCAGCCTCCTCTTTTCTCACTGGGTTTCCATTCTTTTGGTTTTCATTTTGCTTTCATTTCATTTTGGCTCAGAAATGTGTTGTCTTGAATTGAAAAATGAAATATTGTCATTTGCAAATCGTTCTCCCTCAGGGTGTTCCAACTCCAGTAAATAGAGCTTTTAGAGTTGTTGCCATAAGACATGTTGGTTTTAGGGCTGTTTTCCCACTGGTGTTCCCACTATTTGAGGCCCCAAAACATGGAGCTGGACCTGCTGCATCAGCCCCTGCCCATCAGTGAAGCATCGATTGCCTTTTTGTGCTGCTGGAGGGGAACAAAGGGCTGCAGGAGAGCGGGAGGTGGAAGATACCCCTCATTCCACCTGCCTTTGCTTGCAAAACAAGCTCGGTGTGATGGGAAAATATTTTCTCTAATTGATACCTGGGTTTGAAACGGTCACGGTGTATTTTCGGGAAAGGCTTCGTGGCCTGTCTTCTTTGCGGGGTGGTCCCCAATGGCACTGCTCCTTCCCAGCTGGATTCAGAGCCCATTCAGAAATGGGTGTTTCCCAAATGTGGGGAGCACAAGCGCGGTCCCGGGCTGCACTGAGTGCCTGTGAAGGGGAACCCTTTGGCCTTATGGACTCCAGGCGCTGTGACGGGAGCGGAGCTGGCGGCAGCAGAGCCAGCTGTGCGCTTTGTGGCGCAGTTCGGTGTGCTGGAGCTGCGTCCCGCTTGCGGGAGGCCATCCCGGTGCGGGAGCTGCCCCGGCTGCCTGGGGTGTCCCCCAGCCCGGCAGGACGCCCCGGAGCAGCAGCGCGCCGCTGCCGCATTGCGCCCGGCCGTGTCCCGCCGGTTCGGTTCGCTGCCCCTGCTCGTGGGGCCGCGCCTGACCCTGTGTGTCCCCTGGGCAGCCGGGAAGCACACGGCCAGCTCGCACCGGCTCTCGGCCCTGGTGACCCCTGCCGGGCGGTCCTACGAGTGCCAGGCGCAGCAGACCATCTCCCTCGTCTCCAGCGACCACCAGAAGTCCGTGCAGCTCCTGCTGTCGGAAGTGCGGCTGCAGCCCTTCGACATCCCCGCGGATTTTGTCTTCAGTGAAGGTAAGGAGCAGGCGGAGGCACCTCCGGCGTTCCCGAGGTGCTGATGCTGCCACGGCCTTTGGGGATGTCGCGAGGTACTGAAGGAATTTGGGTCCCACCTTTTCCAGAGCAACCTTCCCCTCACTGTTACCGGTGCTCCCTGCAGTCCCAGTCCAACCCATTCTGTGGTCCCCCAAAAGGCTTTACAAATTCAGCCCAGCTGCCAAAACACGGCCTGTCGTTGTATGCTTCTGTAAGTACTTACAGAGTCAGATGGCCAGCCAGCCCCAGTGCAGCATCCCTGGGGAGCCCTGCAAGGCTGAGGTGTCTCCTCTGCAGACAAAAATGCTTCAGCACAGCCCCAGGGGCTTCTTGGGGCTGGTGCACACTGAGGAGGCCTGGGGGTGCACCTTCCTGGCTGCAGTTTGATTAATGCCCATTGTGAGGGGGAAGGAGGTGTAACAGGGACCTCATTGATGCTCCTCGAGCACCAAACACATGGGATGCCATTCTGCTTCTGGGATTCCTCAGCATCCATGGTGGAGGAAAGAAAACCTGAGTTAAAAACATGCCCTTTGCATCAAAGGGTTGCACCGGAGTCTGCAGCAATGCTGCCACGGGACAGGATTCCTGCAGTCTCAGGTTGCTTTATCCCAAGGAACCCATGGTGCTCCTCCTCCCTGGCTCCCCCTTGGTTTTCCCATCAGGTTGAATGAGGCAGTGTAGTCATACCTGGATTGGGTCAGACCAGTCCCATTTCATTGTGCTGCCTCAGCACTGTAATTAGTCAAGCCCGTTATTGTAACCAGGTGCAAATAAAATGTGTAATGGCCAGCTCTTTTAATAACGAGTTAGAAAATTGTGGTATTCAAGCCTAGCATTAAAAACGTGGAGCTTTATTATTTAGCATGTGGGAAATATTTTGGAGCACAATGAAAGCCCAGCACTGACTGCAGAGCTGAGTGGTTGCACTCACGACTCGCATCCTCTCACCGATGTTGTAAATTTGTGCTGCTGCACGTGCTGCCTCTGGCAGAGCTCTGCCTGGCTGAATTACTCACAGCAAGGCCAGTGTAACACTGAGTGGGTTTTATCCGTGGGCAGGGTGTTTTTGTATCAAAGTAGTACCACATTTTTCTTAGATTTACAGGGAGAAAACAGTAGAACTTAATAGTTTGCTGTAATTTTTGTAGTTGGCGTAGCTTTACCCTCTTTTTTCCTCCTGTGGATCCAGGACTGCTGCACTCAGGGTTGAGCTGGGCAGACCTTGGGGGCTGAGAACAGCGTGTTTGAGATATGCAAGTCTGTGTCTCCATGATACCAAACTCGTGAAGTCCTAGAGCTCCCAGTTAAAACAACCAAACTCGGGGCTCACTGCCAAGGGAATCTACCTGCTGTTTTCATGATATGCTCATTCCTCTCAGGCAGCAAATTTGGTTCTATTTTGTTTTCTCTTTTGTTGCTGTAGTTTGGTGGGCTTTTCTTTTTCCAGCACACAAAGAGATGATGTTGGTTTAGCAATCTTTAAACACACGGAGGGAATTCCTCCTCCAGAGGACAGCATGGCTTCTCTCTTTGTCAAGCTCAATGGGGTTTTTGTAGTTGTTGCTCTCATTATTCAATTACACTCCTTTTTGTTGAATTCCACTGGAAGTTAAGCAGCAGAGAGCACCTGGAGGGGTGGTCAGAGGTGCTGGGAGGTGATTTATCAAGGGAGCTCCATCCAGGGCACTGCTGCTCTCCCAGCGGCGCGTTCCCTCCAGCTGAGCTCGTCCTCAGCACACACACGGCAGAACAGGATCCTTTGTGGGCTCTGAGAGTCACTGCCAATCTCAAATTACAGTAATTAGCCTTCTCCTTTTTGCTTCATTAATTTCCCATTAGGTAAAATTCCTATTAATTATGAACAAGCTACAAAACATTCTGAAATATTTTGGAGTAGAGAAAGAGACCTGCTAGAGCAGAAGAATCACCAAGACACAGGAGGGTCGGGGCCCTTTTTCCACAAAGAAATGGGGGAAGGTTTCTTCATTAGTCCTGACACTGTCCTGGCAGGGATAGGTTAAAAAGCTTGTAGAGAATGATTGGATAGTCTTTGGTTTTTTTGAATGCTGAAATTCACATGCTAGAGTATTTTTGTTTGGTTTTTTTTTTTTGAGACACTGCTTCCAACCTTCACAAATCCACATTTATTTATTTATTTATTTAAATTTTTATTTTTCAATAGAGAAGCAGCAGATTTTTTTTTTCTCGCAGAATTTGCTAATTTTTTTTTTTTAATAGGGGAAGTGTGTGTACATTTTTCAGCTTAGAAGATGAGTAAAACGAGAGCTGGATCAAGAGGGTAGGAGAAGATTTAAACTGACGAAAGAACCCCGGAGAGACTGTCAGTTCTTTGATTTTATATCTAAAAATTCCAATCTGAAGCAATATGATGAAAAATAGTAATACAGAGGGATACCACAGCTGATGCTGGGGTGGCTCAGAGGGAGCTGTGACCTCCCACTTGAGGGCCACATTCTCTAAAGGGTCCTTTGCTCCAAGGTATGCGGCCACTTTTTTAAAAACACCTGGTTTCTCTGTCTTTAATTTTTTAAAGTGTTTACTTAGAAACCCCCGTCTCAAGATCCCAAGCCCTTGTCCGGGCTGGTTCCCCCGTTGGACAGTCCCTGTGCTGGTGCCTGCGGGAGGGCGCTGTGCCGTGTGTGCGCTGCAGAAGGATTCTGGAAGGGGAAAATGGGCTCCCGGGTGCTTTCACAGCCCGGTGCTGGAGCTGGGCGAGCGCTCACCATAGAAACCGTGGCAGTACGTGAGCCTGGGAGCAGGCGCAGCACAAAGGAGCGCTGGGGAGCGCACCCGAACACCTCCTCTGTATCCGTCTGCAGTGGGCGTTGCACTGGGGTGACACCACCCTGCCGGAGGGGTGACCCCGCCGCAGTTCGGGGTGCAGCTGAGCTCCCAGCCTCGCCCGAACTTCCTCTTCATTACCAGGGACCTTCTTGTTTCCGTGCACTGAGGGTAAACCCCAGTAATCTGGGAAATGCTGAGATCCTGTGACCTGGAGTGTAATACTGAGGAAAATTTGACAGAAAGGGCTGTTTTCCTGCAGGGTCATTAATTTTGCAATCATAGCTGTTCCCAGTGCGGTGGTTCTCTGTTTGTCAAGCATCAACCTACCCATATTTGAGGGGATTGAGCATCCAAATTTGCCTGCCATGGACTTGATGCAAACCCTTGTCTCCTCCTGTTCCCCCTTTTCCTTTTCCTGTGCTGATGGAGCAGGAATGATGCATGCTGCCTGCCTGCCTCCCTGCTGTGTTGTGGACCTCAGTGCCTTTGCTTGGAATTCTTGGGGTGAAAAACGCTTCATTTGAATTCCTGGGGTGAAAAAATGCTGTATGAATGTTAAAGTACCTTGTTACAAATGTGAAAGTATTTTTATTTGTCATAAAAATATGTAGATCAACATGATACTAATGTTAAAATAGCGAATTCACCCTCCCTGCAGAGGCCTCACTCCTGCTGCAGATGTGCTTGTGCTTTGCAGTTCCCAGTGCCTCCATACTGGGTCCCCCATTCCCTGCAGTCTCCAAAGAGCCAGGCTTTGGTGACCTGCTCCAAAAGGGGACAATGGGTGTTTCTGGTGGGGAGAAGGTGTGGATAGGACAGAGGCAGCTGCTCTGCCCAGGGAGGTGCAGTGGCTCCAGCTGCGTTTGGGGATGTGCTGCTGGAGACTGACACCTTTGCTGAATGCTTTTTTTTTTTTTTCCTTCCTGTTGGCTTTCTTTATTATTTTATTTTAATCCTCTTAAAAATAGTGTCAATAAAGAACTCTCTTCCTTGGTTGCTTGCAGGAGCTGACACCTTTTTGAGTTGTGACACAGACCCTTAAACACAGCTGTGGCTTTCAGTGGACCACAGATCTCTGGCCACGTCCTCTGGTGTGTTTTGTGCCCTGCAGCCGGTTTGCTTTGGCAAAATGTTGTGGAATTCAGATGTTACAAGTGGGTGCTTTAGAGCTGGGTCTGTTTTCTGCACTGGTGCTTTTAGCTTTGCCTTCTCCATTGGCTGCAGCCCCCCACATCCAGCCTGTTCTCCTGGAGTGTTCCTGTTTGGGGAATGAGCACGGGGAATCCTCCCAGCTGGGTTCCAGCAGCTCTATTTCCATCTTCTCTTGCGTTTCAGCTAAGCAAAAATCAGTGTCCAGCCAGAGTGATCTCCTGCTCATTGGCAGCTGAGCACACCCTGTCTGCAGCCGTGTGGGGGGTGCACAGGAGCTCCTGGAGCTTGGATCCTTCCCATGGGAACGGTGCTGCTTTGCAGCTGTGGGGAGTGGGGTCAGAGCAGCCCTGGCCCCACAGCACTGCCCTGTGAGTCAGCTCAGCCTGGGCTTGTGTCCCTGTGAGCTGCTCAGGCCTTAGCATCCTAAACTGGGAACAATTCCACGCAGCACCAGAAACCCAGTTTTGGGAGCTAAGTAATCATCAGGATTTCTCCCCCCATTCTCCTTACTACAAACAAACAAAACCCCTGCATTGCAGCAATTGCTGAATCGCCTGTGCCTCAGTCCTGGTGATTAATCACTCCTCTGGTGAAACAGTGAGCAACTGGAACTGAAAAGGACATTCTTTAGTGTTAGACAACATCCCACTTTTGCTTTTTTTTGTTTCACCTCATTTACAGCTTGAAGTGTTTCCTGATGCCGTGGCTGGGAGGAGGCTGCACTCCAGGACTTGGTGGAGCTCCTGGAGGTGCTGGCACTGCTGGAGATGGGTCCCTGCTGTCACCTCCTGCCTGGGCCTGGGGCTCTCTGGGTTTCTCCTGCTCTTTGCCACATGCTGTGAGATTTGTGGAGCGTTTGCTCTTCCTGGTTATTGCAGATCTCTGCAATCAGCTGCCCGGGGGACCCATCTGGACAGTCTTTAGCAAGGGGGGGAATTGGTGGTGCCCTTTGTATTTGTTCATCTAACACACAGCCTTTCTATTTTCCTTTTTATTTTTTTTCCCTTAAAGTTGTCGTTGTTTTCAACACATTTCTAATACAATGAAGACAGAATTGTCCTTCCTGTATCACATACCCCTTTTTTTCCCCCCAGAACTGGCACTTTTCTTCTTTTTAGCCTGGCAGCCCCATCTCAGCAGCCTGGGGCCTGCCTGTCCATCAGCACGGAGAAGCAACAATCCTGTGGGGGGGAAAAGTGCATCATGATCCTGTCACTCTGGCCTGCAGTAGGCCCTGGAAGTGTAAGGGGGCAGAGCCAGGATTACCAGTGTACCATGCTTCCTGACCTTAGTGACCTTTCCAAGCTCAACAGAAAAGTATTTTCCCATTGTATCACTATTTTCTAGTGGTTTATTAGGCTGTGGCAAAGACTCATCAGAGAGACAAGAACACTGGCGGGGCTCACGTTGCTTCTGCTGCTCCTTTGCTGTATTTGGTGGACAGTGTGGGTGCTGGGGTGCTGTTTGACACAGACACACACACTGTGTGTGCTCTGCCAGGGCTGGTGCCAGGTCCCTGCGGAGCTCCTGGAGAGGGACAGCGGTGCTGTTGGACCTCTGCCAAACACACACACTGTGTGTGCTCTGCCAGGGCTGGTGCCAGGTCCCTGCGGAGAGGGACAGCGGTGCTATTGGACCTCTGCCATCTTGCAGATAGAGGGGAATCTCTGGGTGATGTGCAGGGTGGGTCTGGTGCAGAATTAAAGCCTTACTGGCACCGAGGCCTCCCAGAGTCTGCCTGAATGAACAAAGCAGCTCTTCAGTCACCCAGGAACCCTGGGCTTTGGCTGCCCCGTTCCCAACACGGCCATCGATGTGTGCCAGAGGGGGCTGAGCTCATGGCATGGAAGTGTTTTTCCAGTGCGTGGGCTGGTTTGATAGATGCAGCCTCTCCGTGTTGTGAGTGGTTCCACTTTGCTCCAAAGCAATTGATTTTCTCCCCAGGGCTCCGCCGGCAGCTGCGGCCGCTCCGTCCTGCGCGGAGCCGTGACCGGGGAGCGCCGGCAGCGCAGCGCGCAGCGTCCCGGCCGCGTCCCTCTTCCCCTCTCCCTTCCCCTGCAAAGTCCCCTCCATGTCCCTCTTCCCCTGCCCAGTCTCAGCCATGTCCCTCTTCCCCTCTCCCTTCCCCTGCAAAGTCCCCTCCATGTCCCTCTTCCCCTGCCCAGTCTCAGCCATGTCCCTCTTCCCCTCTCCCTTCCCCTGCAAAGTCCCCTCCATGTCCCTCTTCCCCTGCCCAGTCTCAGCCATGTCCCTCTTCCCCTCTCCCTTCCCCTGCAAAGTCCCCTCCATGTCCCTCTTCCCCTGCCCAGTCTCAGCCATGTCCCTCTTCCCCTCCTTCTTCCCCTGCACAGTCTCAGCCATGTCCCTCTTCCCCTGCACAGTCTCATCCATGTCCCTCTTCCCCTGCACAGTCTCATCCATGTCCCTCTTCCCCTGCACAGTCTCAGCCATGTCCCTCTTCCCCTGCACAGTCTCATCCATGTCCCTCTTCCCCTGCACAGTCTCAGCATTCCCCTCTCCCCTCTCTGTTCCCCTGCAGAACACAAGTGCCCGGTGGACCAGAGGGAGCAGCTGGAAGAAACGCTGCCCCTGATCCTGGGGCTGATCCTGGGGCTGGTGATCGTGATCACCCTCGGCATCTACCACATCCACCACAAGCTGACAGCCAGCCAGGTGCAGATCCCTCGGGACAGATCTCAGTACAAACACATGGGGTAGGAGCAGGACCGAGCAACCCGAGCATTGATCAGGTAGAAACAGCAAAAGCACTTTTTTCTGTGGGTGAGAAAACGTTCTGGGGGGCAAGGGATGGTATTCACAGCACCTAATCCTGAGTATTTCATGGAGACACTCAGGCTAAGGCTTGGCTTTAACACAGCCTCTGTAAGGAGAATCAGTGTCTGAGGTGCCTGTAGGTGGTTTGAATACCTTCTTTAAGCAGCTGGGCTGATCATCTGGAAACAGAAACACTTCACATGTCAGAGTTTCACACTGGGAGCACAATTAGCTTTCTTGTTTTATTTATTTTTTCCCTTTTTCCCATCTCCAGAGGTTCTTACCTCCCCCTGCATCACCTTTGGAGCATTCAGCCCTCCACGTTCCTGTCTGTGCAGGAAGCAGGGCTGGGAGACAGAGCCATTGCACAGGGCTCATTCAGGCCCTCTAGTGAAGGGACTCAAACCACATCCCCCAGTTTGCACTCATGTTAAGAAAAGCATGGAGGCAAATGCAGGTGTGCTTTGGGGAAAAAAAAATAAAATTCAAGGTCAGTAACTCCAGTGGAGCAGATCACAGCTGTGGAGCTGACCCCACACTTGAGATTGGGTGAAGAAAGTTTGTTTTTGCTTCTTGAGCCACATCTGAACTAAACTTAGAAAAAAAAAAAGTAAAAAAAAAAAGTATTGATACACAAATTATAAAGTGCCGTGCTACTGCAAGTCAACTGAGAAATGCTTCTGGCTGGGCATCCTGCACGTGTTGTGATTGTGGTTGAGATGTTACATTGCTACCTGCAACTGATAATTTTCACAACAAAACAAACAAAAAAAAAAAAAAAAAAACAAGAAAAAGAAAACAGTAATGTTAAAGTTACTATGCAGATTATTCAGGTGTAATCTAATGTAACAGAAAAATATAAGGGAACCCTTGAAATCTATCCTTAAATGTAGAGAATTTTTAAAATTAATTAAAACATGTACACACATAATGCTTGATTTGCCTTCTTAATCTGCAATGTTGTAATGCTTTGTCCTCGCTCCACAGTACCAATGGAATCAGAACACAAAATGCATCCTCTGAGTGGATGGCACGTGTAGGATTTATTTCCAGCAGTGGTTGTGCTGCAAATGGCTTGGTGAGACATGGTGGTGGTTCAGTATTCTGTCATTTGTTGGTTGTCCCTAATTATCTCCTGTCTCTTGGTTGTTTTTCCTGAGTGTTGTGTGGGCAGTGACGTGTTTTATTCCAGTACAGTCCAATTCCCACTGAGCCCTTGGCTCCACCTGGCTCCAGTGTTACCTCAGCAGGAGTTAGTCCAGGCCTTGTGTCAGTTTAGGGTGTGGAAAATACTTCCTTCTTCTAAAACTGATTTAATTCAAACAGAGGCTTGATTGTTTTCTTTCAGCTGAAAACAATCAAAAATAGTAATTTCAGTGTTGGAAAAAGGCAAGAGAAGAAACTTAACTGTTCTTTAATGCTGTAGTCTCCTCCAAAATTGATGGGTTTTTTGATGAAGGTGGATGCAGCATGAGCCTTTAGTCCTGCCTTGTTCCTGGTCTCATTTCTGTGCTGTGCTCAGCTGTTTTCTCATTTGGATGCAAAAAGCCAATTACGGCACTAACGATGATTGTGGCTTTGCCCTTTTCCTTCAGAGCTGCAGTGAAAGGGTCCTGGGTGAGCTTTAGACTGGCCAAGTGCCACTGCCTACAATAAGCTGGTAATTAAAAAAGACAAGAAAAGGTTCTTTTAGAGGCAGTCAGGAAAAGGCAGAGGTAGCAGGAGGGTGAGTAAAAGGATTAAAGGTTCATCCCTAATAGAGAGGAGCTTTGTCCTGCCTCAGCCTTGTGTGCCCTGGGGCCAGGAAGGCTCTCCCAGCCAGCTCCCGTCAGCCTGGCACATCTGCCGCTGTGACCTCCCGAGGTCACAAAACACAAAAAGGAAGCCAACAGCTGAGCTGAGGAGCCAGAGGAGCCAGAGGAGCCAGAGGAGCCCCTGGCCCTAGCCAGCTCCCGTCAGCCTGGCACATCTGCCGCTGTGACCTCCCGAGGAATAACCAAACACAAAAAGGAAGCCAACAGCCGAGCTGAGGAGCCAGAGGAGCCCCTGGCCCGCCTTTGTCTCCTGGAGAGGCCGTTCTGGCAGGGGCTGTGGGAAAGACGGGAGAAGGCTCCAGGTGGAGCAATGCCAGGCACTCGGGGACATTCCCAGCTTGGAAGGGGAGTTCAGGGGCTCACGGGGGGCGGCTGCAGGCAGCAGGGCTGGGCTGGGCTGGGCTGCTGGGGACACACACAGCTGCCCAGGCTGCTCCGGGAGGGGGCTGTGCCCTGCCCTGCCCGCTCGGGGGTCATCCCCGGCGCGTTCCCCTGCTGCAGCCCGCCGGAACAGCGATCCCAGCCCGGGGCTGCACAGGGACACACGCTGTGTGATGGCCCCAGAGCTGTCCCTGGCACCCCGGGGCACCCACGGGACCGTCCCTGCCTCAGCCACAGCTCTGCCCTGCTGCCAGTGGGACGGGGACAGCCCCAGAGCTGCTGCTGCTCCTGTGCCCGCTCGGGGGGCTGCACCTGGCATCACCTTCAGGGGCTGAGTGGTCTGTAAGCTATTAGGAACAGAACTCCAGGAATGCAATCATTAGTTTCTTGGTTTTCTGAACTGACAGATTTTTTTTTTTTTTTATTGGACCAAAATGTTTTTGGGGAAGAAAGAAAAAAGAAACATTAATTTAATGTCAGTGACAGTTTGTGTCCCAGACTGATGTATCTTGATTGAAAAGTTATTTAAGGTTTTGGGTGAAAACCTTTTAAAATCTTTCAATTCTCTCCATCCTTTTGCTCACATTTACTAAAATTTATCTGAATTCTCCATTGCTTTAAGCTTTTCAAGCCTATTTATGAAAAATTATTTATGAGAGCGATTATGTCCCGCTTCCCTCCTGCTTGTCAAACTGCAGCAGCATCTTCAGGATGGCAGCACTTTGTTGTGATTTAATTTTGTATTTAGCTTTCATTTATTGATGGCTTTTTATGGGTGAGCTGCAAATTGAAAGCTTTGCTTTCTGGCTGTTTATGAACACAGCAGCGGAAGGTGGATAAATACACCTTATCACCTACTGAGCTCTGCCAGGACCTGTAATAATTAGGCACTTGCTAAAGCAGCTGCTAATGACTTACGCAGTACTTGTGATTAGAACTTTAATTATCACTTATTGATGTATTGCTGAGGAGGGGGCTGACATAGCCAGGCAATGTCCTGGCCTCTGCTACCACGGTGAGGAGTATTTGGGAGTGGTTTTAGAACTGTGAGCTCAGAAACAGCCACCATTCCTTGGTGATGGGGGGAATAATTCCACTGGGATATGGGCTCAGCTTCTGAGTGAAGGGATGCTCTTCACGTGCCTTATCTCTGTTTTTAGGTGATGGCATTACATTTTTACAATGCACTTTGAAGTATTTACTGATGTCAGAAACCAAAAGTAACAGAAATCCTCACCTGTAAGACTTGAGGGTAGCAAATAACATTGTAGATTCATCAGCTGAGTGGTGCTGCTGGGAAACTGGGAAGAACTGCTGCCTGTAGTGTGAGAGGTCAACAGCTGGGAGCTAAAAACTGGGGATGTGTAAGGCAAAAAAGAGAGGGATTATTTAGGGGATAGAGAAAGGAAGGTGGAAATGCACTGACAGAAATTACTTGGGGCAGCTCTGTAAATCACTATTTATATACATACGTGTATCATACATGTGGATCTTGTGTGTGTATATATATATACATATATATATATATAAAATAAGAACACATTTTTTCCTTTATTATCTGCTTGGTCCAGTACTGTGGGACTGGGTCAAATGTGTAAAGCAGAAACAAAGGTATAGGGAAAAAAAAACCACACTGAAGCTTCAAGTGTTTATTAATTAATTTATTTAACTTGCATGTGCATTTGTCTCACCAGTAGCTGGTGTTCACAAAAAAACCCTTTGAAATCGACAAAACTGTCAGTAAACTCGATGAACACTGCTTAAAGTATCTAATGATAAGAAAGTTGCAGAAAATTCTTCACTTGTACAGCCTAAAATGTGCTGAATATTGAAGAAAAAACTCCCCCCAACCCCCTTTTTTATTCAAAGATGGTTAAAAAAGGTAATTTTGTAGCTAGTATTAAGTTGTGCCGTTGCCTGGACTGGTGCAGCCTGGTTTCCTGAGTTGTCAAGACTACAAAAGAGAGCCCTGGGAGGCTGGGGGTGCTCCCTGCTGGGTGGGCTCCGGGAGCCAAACATTTCCTTCAGTGTCTTCTTCAACTGTGCAAACAGGGCTGGGGAGAGAGCACGGGGGATAAGACACGGATGTAAGAACAGCCATTCCATGCTCCAGATCATCCTTACCTCCTTCTTTCCTTTTTTTGTGTTTTTTTAAATTGCTTCTCTCCCTCCAAATATTCTTTAAGGGCAGAACTAAAGGAGCTTTTTTACTATTGGCAACTCTTTTCTCCCAGAGGAAGATCTTTAAGCAACAGCTCCTGCCAGGTGTAGATGTTTGGTTATAATTTACTACAATAAATAACAATTAATTTATTAACTATGAAGTTTCATAAGAAAGAAACTGTGTTTTCACAAAGTTGGCTTTGTGGTTCTTAAAGATACCATAAAATGAGGTCAGTAAGAAAAAAAAACAAACTTGAAAAACATGGCTTTTGTATTATACAGAATTAAAAACAACTAATCGTTAATAAATAAAAATTAGTTTCTCACCGAAGTAATTATGAAGCACTTCTAAAAATTTTAAAGGCAAACCTATTTAGGCCTACAGTTAACATGCAAAGTCATCCAACAAATAACACAAAATTGTACCGCAGTAGTCAACTGTTGCATCAACATTCAGAAAGGTCTAGACAGCAGCACGACTTCTCCTCTATGGCAAACGCCTGGCAGCACATCCATCCCAACCCATCCAAACCCATCCCATGGATCCCAACCCATCCCATCCCGTCCCGTCCCCTCCCACAGCGCTTCCCAGGCTGCTCCGGGCTGGCAGGAGCCCTCTGCTGTCCCTCTGCACGGCCAGAGCTGTGGCACGGAAAGAGAGGGGAGCAGGGCTGGGCAGGGGGGATCGCTCCAGCCCGGGACAGGGGACACCCACCGGGGCCTGGGGCTGCACCGAGTGCTCCCTCCGCCCTCAGCTGCCCGGGCAGGATGGGCCCCCTCCTCACCCCATGGGAACTCTGAAAACCTCTCAACTTCCTAAAGGTGGCTGTGGTTTCTTTTTTTTTTTTTTTTTTTTTTTTTTTTTTTTCTCCTGTTTTCAAAAGGGTTAAAAAAAGTAGGAAACTTCATCTTCTGAAATTGTCGCTAAGTTACACTTATTACTTAACTAACACAACAGTTACATGACAAAGTACTGCAAGTTATCAAAACGTACTGTACAGAAAATTACAAACTTCTTGCAAAATACATTGCGCTGCTCTGACCGAGATAAAAAGTGCTTTGTTTTGTCAGAAAAGTGTTCTTCGGGAGCAGGAGTGCAGCCCGCGGTGCAGCTCCGCTGTCCGGCGGAGCCCGGGCCGGCGCGGCGGGGCAGGGAGCGCGGCCCGCCCTCGGCGGTTCTGTACACGGCCTTCCCTGTACCCGCGGGGCTGCCTTCCTCCTCCAGGCTCTCCTCCTCCTCCTCCTCCAGGCTCTCCTCCTCCTCCTCCTCCTCCTCCCTGCCCGCGGGCCCCGCGCTCCCCGAGCCGGGCTCTGCTCCGAGCCCTTCCCGGACAGGCTCAGCGGTGCCTGTGCTGCCTCATGAGGGGCACGATGCAGGAGGGGGGCCCGGCCAGCTTCAGGAAGGGGTGCCGCAGCAGCTCCTGCGCCGTGGCTCTCTGCGACGGCTCCCGCACCAGCATCGAGTCCAGGAAGCCCCGCAGGACCGAGGAGACCTGGA